CACACACATATGGGTTTATTTCTGGACTCTCTTCTGTTCGCCTGACTTTATATATCTATTCCTCTTATGGCACTAATACATTTTGATGACTTACAGCCTTACATTAAGGCTCGAAGTCAGATAGTATCAGTCCTTCAACTTTGTTTCCCTTCCTCAAAATTTGAGTCTTTCCACCCGTGAAGACAGCATATTCTTTGATTTATTTGGGTCTTCTTTGATATCTTTCATCAGTGTTTTATAGTTTCAGCATATAGATCTTGCACATATTTTGTTAGATTTATATCTAACTATTTCATGTTTTCCGGTGCTATTATAAATGACGCTGTTTTAAAAATTTTCCACTTCCAACTGCTCACTGCAGCTGCACAGAAACAAAATTAATTTCTGTATTTGAACTGTGTATCCTTCAGCACTGCTATACTCAGCTGTTAGTTCTTTTTTGAAGAGTCCTTAGGGTTTTCCTATCTAGTTGTTCTTGTCCTTGGTGAATAGAGACGGTTTTACTTTTTCTTTTCCAATCTAAAGACTTTTCTTTTTCTTGCCTAATTGCACTGTCTGGGACCTCGCATAGGACAGCGGGTGAATGAAAGTAATGAGCACAATGGCGGTTCCCTGGTTTGATCACTGAGCTGTGGTTATGTGAGAGGCTGTCACTGGACAAAACTACATGAAGGGAACACAGCAACACCATTCTAGTTTGGCACCTTCTTTGTGGTTTAAAATGACTTTAAAATAAAAAGTGGTGGGGGAAAAAGTGGTGAAAGCTTTCTTGCCTTGTTCCCAGCCTTCGAAGGAAAGTCTCTCACCATGAAGTATGATGTTAGCTGCAGGTTTTTCACAGATGACATTTACCAGCTTAAAGAAGTTCCTTTTATTTCTAGTTTGCTAAGGGTTTCTTTGCTTATTTGTTTGTTTTTGTTTTTGTTTTTGTTGTTTTTGCGGTACGCGGGCCTCTCACTGCTGTGGCCTCTCCCGCTGCGGAGCACAGGCTCCGGACGTGCAGGCTCAGCAGCCATGGCTCACGGGCCCAGCCGCTCCGCGGCATGTGGGATCTTCCCGGACCAGGGCACGAACCCGTGTCCCCTGCATCGGCAGGTGGATTCTCAACCACTGAGCCGCCAGGGAAGCCCGGCTTATTTGTTTTAAAATCGTGAACGGGTACTGGATTTTGTCAAATGTTTTTTCTGTATCTTTTGAGATTATCATACGTTTTTTCCTTTTTCGTCTGTTAATATGGTGAATTATGTGGATTTTAGAATATTAAACCAACCTTGCATTCCAGGAATAAATCACACTTTGTCATGAAGTATTCTCATTTTTGTATGATGCTGTGTTCAACTGGCTAAATATCTGCCCAGGATTTTTGGCTCTATGTTCATGAGCGACACTGGTCTATACTTTCTTTTCTCATATTTGTCTGGTTTTGGTATCAGGGTAATGGTGCCCTCACAGAATGAGTTGGGAAGTGTTCCCAGTTCCCAAAATCATGGAAGATTTTGTGTTGGCTCGTTATGATTTCTTCCTTAAATGTCTGGCGCAATTTATCAGTAAAGCCAGTTGCCCTTGGAATTTTCTTTGTGTGAAGGTATTTTATTTCCACTTTACCCAAATCTTTTAACAATTTTATTAAGGTATAATTTACCTGGAAATTTACCAGTTTAAAGTGCACAAGAAGACAGGGTTCACATTTGTAAAGAAACTAAGCTCATTTTCTTTCACCCAGTTCTGAGACGACTTCGGGAAATTTCTTTTTGCTAGTGACACTCAGGCGTGAGTGGCCGGCAGGCACGAGTCACTGCGAGTCCAGGGTACAGAGGTTACTTAAAGACACAGTCAAGAGCCGATTTTCCGTGCCTTCCTCATCCGTGTGCAGCTCTCCATCCTGTTCCCACTCAGCCCCATGCACTCTGGCTCCCCCCGCCGACCCCCCGGAACTGTTCTCACAAGGATCGCCAAGAACACCACGTCTTCCTTGTTGCTCGGCCCGTGGACACGCTCAACCTTCTTAACTTGACCTCCTGCAGAGTCTGACAGAAGGGACGAAGCAGGATGGGCACGCTGCCACTTGACCCCACGCTCCCCTGGTGTCCTGCACCAGTGCAGGTCTCCCTTCCTCACTAGTCCCTTCATTCCGTGCGCCTGAGGCTTCTTCTTAGGGCCCCGCGTGTCCTGCAGAACGATCTCATTCTTTCCTACAGACTCATCAGACTCCCTAGTGACACCTGGACCAGTCTAGACCTCTCGCCGGGGCCCACCTCACTACCAGTCTTCCAGCACCTCCAACAAAATGGGTGAGCGGCTGCTAAGGAAGAGTCAGGTGATTTTCTACTCCCCTCTGTGAATAGATTCACTTACTGTTCACGACAGCTCTGTCATGTAGCTCCATTATCATCGTCCTTTCACAGTGCAGGAAGTCAAAGGACAGAGATGTTAGATGATCTACCCACAGTCATACCGCTGGGAAGTGTCAGAGCCAGGACTGGAACCCAGGAGTGACTCAGAGCCTATATATTGTTTCTTTAGGTAAGAAGTGGATTTATTCAGAGAGAAACACACTCCACAGACAGAGTGTGGGCCATTTCAGGTGAGAGTAGGCTCAGAGCCTATATTCTTTTTTTGTTTTTTTAGTATTTATTTATTCATTTCTTTGGCTGTGCTGGGTCTTAGTTGCGGCACGAGGCATCTTTGTTGCTGCGTGCAGGATCTTAGTTGCGTCATGTGGGATCTAGTTCCCTGACCAGGGATCGAACCTGGGCCCCCTGCATTGGGAGCATAAATTCTTAAGCACTGGACCACCGGGGAAGTCCCAGAGCCTATACTCTTAACCACTCCGACCAAAAGAGCATCTTCAGACTTGGGGAAAGGTTGGACTGGATGATTCAGTTTCCAAAAAGTCTCCTCGACTGCAAAGGTCCATGGGTCCCTATCCTGTGAACTCCCACAGCACATCAGCCGTCCTGTGTCAAGAAGGCTTCTGGCTTGTTCCTTGCCAGGAACCCCTCTTCACCCCGACAGGGAGCGCACCCTTCACTGAGCCCCTGTGTGAATCAGCTCTCATATCCGCTGGGGCAGCGCCAAAAGACAACACAGACCAGGAGACAAAGAGGATACACTTTATTGTTTCCAAAACAATGGCTCCAGTAGGAAGGAACACAATCATTATGCTTACAGCAGCGACTACAGGGGGGAAAGGCTAGCTTTAAAATATTTGAAAATCACTGTGTGAAAATGGTGCTTCTGGGCACCTGAGTCTTGGATCTCAACTCAGTGACTGTCCCCAGTCCTCCAATCTTCCTAATTCCATCTTTGTATTTTTAATATCACACAGCCCTGATGTCATTCATGGATGTTTATCAAGGAGGTGTGTCAGAGAGCCCAGCTGGGCAAAGTCAGAAAAGACTTGGGCCTTCAGACTGTGTCCAGTGGGAGCTGAGTTCCAGAGAAACATGTCACGTTCAAAGGTTTGTTTTCTGTTCTTTTGCTGTTCGTTTTACAGTAGAAGAAACAGACAACCGGCACAAGAATGAGGGATCCTTCCTGGGTTCCCTCCAAGCATCTGTATTAAAGTTTCAAAGCGGGAAAAGTCTGCGAGACAGGGGGTCCACACAGTAGCAGCCAGAGCCTGAAACACAGCCCTTCCCAGCCATCACGAACCCTATATTCTCCTGAGGGGGGAGGTAGCTTCTGGGCGAGGGGGCGCCGTGGGCTGATGGCAACGGCCCTTCTAGGCTCTGGTCCCGGCTGACCTCTGTCCCAAACCCTCCGCCTTTACCCTGGAGGGTGGAGAGGAGGCCACAGGTACTGAGACACACCAAGGTTTCTGTGAAGAGTTTCCAGGAAGAAGAGGCTGAGGAGAAATAAAAGGCTAGGAAAGAAACCACAGGGCCAGGCAGGCCTCGTCCACAGCCTCCAGGGTAAGGGAGCCCCAGTGCCTGGGGCAGGGTGTAGGCTCGCCAGAACCCAGGGCCCCACTTGACTCAGGAAATACAAATTCAAGTCATTCACGGAAGTCTTCCAAGGAATGGCAATTCCTGATAATTGCTAGAAAACAGCAATGTATCCTTATCCTTATCTTTGTATCCTTTGACCAAGAACTTAGAAATGGTTGAAAACTTGCCTGACCAACTGTAACTGCTTGATTACCATTTCCTTCACTGCTGGGAATGAATTTGTTAACTACAAGACTTTGTTCTGATAAGATTTGCCAATTCCATTTTAAACGAAAGGAAATTACTTTAATTAATATAAGTTAATAATAAAACTTCAAAGTGCTACACAGCCGCAGAATTTTCCTGAAGGCAGAAAACGGGGTCGGTCATTTGAATGGAGAAGTTTGATGGGGGGGCAGATGGTGGGCCTGCGTCCCCTCTTGCACTTTGGGCACCTGCGGCGTTCCCAGAGGCCTGCCCTCGCTCTCACAGCCCTGTGATGTCCTGTAGCGTAAACAGGTCCTTTTCCAGGGGTCTGGAGGGGTGGATTTAATGCCCGGGGCTCACGAGGAAGGAAGAGAAGGGGGCAGCCCAGGAGCACCTAACTGGCAGGCCTGCTTCAGACTCACTGCTGTGTTCCCAGAGGGGGCACAGTGCTTGACACACAGCAGGAGCTCAAGAAATATTTATTGAACAAAAGAAGAAATGGAGAGAAAAGAAAGGTAGGTCAGACGGAAGAAAGGGCTGAATCAGAGGATGGGCCCCAAATTAAGATGCCTGCAATGACTAGCTTATACCACCAGATGGCAGTGCAGGGAAATGTCCGGCCTGCAGTCCCAGGACCCCCACCCCTTCCCCTCTGAGAAGCCACATCTCAGGCTGGGACTGAGCTCCCAATTCTGGAAATCTCTAAACCAGGCACACACCTCAGAGTTCCGAGGAAAAAATAAAAAAGCAAAACTAAACATCACATAAAAGTGCAGTCCTTGGGTTTTTATAAAATTTTGAGTCCTGACGTAGCTTAAAACCGTCCACCCCCCAGCCTTGCTCATCGTCTTGATTTTTCCCAGCTTAAATGAACTCTATGCCCTCGTACTTCACACTTCCGATCTTGGTCTCGGGCAGGAGGAAGCGTCCGTCGAGCGTGAAGGCCATGATATAGGTGGCGATCTGGCCGCCGTCCTCCTCGGACTTGAGGGCCACGATGATCTGGTCATCGGTGTTGGGGATGAACTTGAAGGAGGAGAAGCCGTGCGTGGGGACCACCTCCCCCACGTGGCGGACGGAGATGTCGCCGAAGTCCTGCGCGGCACTCAGCAGCAGGTTGGTGCCCCTGCGCTCGTCATCCTCCTCGCCGTAGCGCTCGTGGCTGGCGCGGCGCGGCAGGAAGAACCAGCGCTGCAGCGTGTCGCTCCAGCAGGCGGACTCGTGGATGAGGTAGCCTGGGGACACACAGACCGGTCACCGTCCGCCCTCCGCAGAGCCAGGGCGGCCTCGCCCCTGCACACAGACCCGCGAGCGGCCCGGCGCCGCGTCACCGTCATCTTTTCTTTAGGTTCCCGTGTGCTTTTGCTCCCACCTGTCCAGAGTGACTGAGCCCGGGACAGCAGCACAGAGCCCGCGGGGCCGCGCTGAGTCTCTGCTGCGCCACTCTCTGGCCACCCTTCCTCGCCGGCTTCCCCAGCGCTGCAGAGTAGCCGTGGCTACGAGGTCTGTCTGTATTTCGCCTCCTTGGTGCTACTCAAGTGGCGCAAAGGAGAGCGCCAGGGGAAGAGGCACGAGGAACACTCAGGTCCGATCTGTGAAGATGGATCAGGGCGGGTGGGGAGAGGCTGCCTCGAAGCAGGAAAGTACAGGAAGTGAGCCTATCTGGGTGTGAAGCCATGTCCTCAGTCACATGCCCCAGGCCTAGGGGTGACCAGGCTGCTCTAAGCACCACCATCCCCACTACAAACCATGACTCTTGGAAACAAGGATGAAGCAGCAAAGCTCTGTGCACCTGCTCCCACCACGTCAGATGCGAGGCCTGACCCCAGGGTGGCGGCCGGGAGGACGCTGTAGACAGGGCTGCCGGGCCGTCTGTCTCGGTGAATCGGGGTGAGAGAAAAAATGTCTCATTGGCCCCTGAACCCAGTGGCCTGGTGGGAGCAACCGTCAGAGACAGCCGAATCGCCAAATAAGCAAGAAGCGAAGCCCATGCTCGGCAAGCAACACGTGGAGCCCGCATGCTCGCAGCCACCCGTCTGCGCAGCGCCTGCTCGCGGGCCTGGCTCTCACCTGGTGGCCGGATCCCAGCAGCAGCCCGCAGGGCGTTGTAGCTGGACACCCAGTTCTCGTGGTCCACGCTGCCCCTGCAGCCCACCACCTTCACCCACTCCGGGTTCTCGTTCAGCACCTCCCCCGTGGCGGTGGTCCATTCCTTGCCCAGGCCGCCCACATACAGATGCTCGTCCTTCACAGCCAGCCACTCGGCTTTGAAGCCTGGGGACAGGGAGACAGGGGGTGGGCCTGAGGCGACGGCCAGCCCTCTGCTGGCCTGGCTCCTTGTGTCTGGTCAGGCAAGAGCAGAGAGCCCTCTGAGTCCGCAGCCTTGGGTGTCAGAGGTCCCTCAGGGCGGCCACAAGAGAGCAGAGGCCAGGCCAGCCTGCTGGGAGCTCCACCCCAGAGGGTAGGTGGTTGGGATCCTCTCCTTAGTGCTGACCCCACGGCGTTAACGGGGCGCAGAGAGGTGCCACCTCTGCCTGCTGCCTCCCCCTTCTCTCTCCCGGCCCTCCGGAGCCCCCGCATCTTCCTCCCAAACTCACCCCAGAAACCCTGCTGGGACCACCCGCCTCACAACCCAGGTGAACCCTCCTGCGCCCTGCACAGCCAGAAAGGCCCACACTCCACTCACAAATCTCCGTGGACCCCAAGCTCCCTGTTTCTCGCGCTGTCAGCCCCGACTCAGACTACGCCCAACCCTAGGAAAGTGGAGGGAAGTGACAGTCACACAGAACGCGCCTGCGGTCCTTGAGGCCACACCTGACACACCCCTGAGTCAACTATGTGCCAGCGACCAGAGCTAAATGCGGCTTGGCATGGGGGCTCACAGCAGCCACGCCAAACAATGTTTGTTTCCTTAGACGGATTTACTTACCATGAGCTTAGTTCTGAAGGTTATGTGGGCGCTTTGTTCTTCTAGCGTATTCTCACCTGTTCCTACACCGTGCTCTAAATTGTGCTTGCTTCGCAAATGTTTTGCAAATTTCCTGCCAGCCCGAGGAGCTGGGGCTGCAACACTCCCTGCAAGATGCTGCTCTGCAGGTGGCTCTGGATGACGGACCACAGGGCAACCCTGAGCTCCCTTTATCCTGTTTTCCTCCCGATCCAAGGGGCAAACAGAACTACTGGATGGTGCCCTACACGCCCTGACGGCCTGAGGCAGGAAGCGGACAACAATGTTTTCAATAAAATGGTGGCTGATAGTCCTGCCAACCTGCCCAGCCTCGGGCAAACTTGGGAGAGATTTTTATCACCAGGAGAGGGGGAGGAAGAGGGGCAGGGGGAGGGCCTGGCAGCGGGCCCAGGGAGTTAACGCGATTCCTCCTTTGACCTCAGGCACCTGCTGTGGGGTTTGGCTTTCTAGAAGGTGCGGACCCACCCGAGGGCACAGGCACGCGCAGAAGTTGGTGCCAACTCTCCCGCCGCCCTGTCTGAAGGCTCTGGGCACGCAGGCTGCCTCTCGCAGCTCTCCTATCCACCTACTGGCAAACAGCAGAGCAGTGGGGCACAGCCGATGCCAGAGGTCCAGATTCCACTCAGGGGGTGGGGGGCGGTCACTGCTGCTCACACAGACATTCCTTCTGCTGGGTTTTCAGAAAGGAGACGTTTGCTTTTTAATAAAGTCTTGGTTCAAAATGAGAAAATCTGACGCCCCGGCTTTAAAGGTGAGGCACGTGGAGGGTGCAGGACACAGAAAGAGGCTGGTTCCTGGGGGCAGTGAGAGCAGCAGCGGCGGGGCCCAGCCTCCCTCCTGGAGAGGCCCCGCCTCCCCCGCAGGCCCCCGGCAGAAGCTCACGCTCCCGGACACAGCTTTGGTCCGAGGTCTCGGAGGCTTCTGCTCATGCTCTGGGGGCCGCAGGTCAGCGGCAGGGAGGAGGCTAGATCTCCCTGACGTCCCCTCCCTCTGGACCCGTGACTGCTTCACTGCACACGTGTGCAAACCAAGCCAGCTGAGGGTGACCCAGGACCTGTCCTCTAGCACCGCAACGAGCCCAAGGGACAGACGGCCCGACTGACCTTTCCCCACGGTTCCGTCGCCGTCGGACAGGATCACCCAGGGCACGGCCTTGGAGCCCTCGATCTGGTAGACGACGCCTGTCCGGTCATCCACGGAGTAGAGCTTCCCATTGAAAACAATCAGATCCGACAGCTCCATGCCCCTCCCCTTTTCCGCCAGGTGGGACTCCAGCACCTCGTGGCCTTGGTCCCACTCCACGGCCACCCTGTCCCCACTGTCTGACAGGGTCAGATAGCCCTTCTTCAGGTAACTGACCCAGGTGTTCTCCTCTTGGGCCCTTGACTCCGTGTCCAGGTCGGCAATGACAGCGATTCTGTACCGAGTCCCGCCCGGTGTCCTCTGGGGGGCTGATAGGGGGTAGGTGTCATTGTACCGGTCGGCGGATGCCTGGCCGAGCCTCCAGTTGTGGGCATTGGGCATGGGGGGCCGGCCAGGAGGAGGGCGGTGGGCGTAGAGCAGCCAGAGGACGGCGGCACCCAGGAAGGATGGCAGGATCACCCTCCAGCGGGGGCGGAAGCGGGGGTCTGCGGCCTTGGTCATGGACGCCAGCACGGGAAGGCCCCCCACGCTGATCCGGAGGGAGTGCATAGACTCATTCCATTCCAGGGGGTCGGAGGGCTGGACGGGCATCAGACTGAAGGGCAGGCGGGACCTGCAACCCAGGGGGAAAGGAGAGGTCAGCGACCTGCCAGGCACAGCGCTTCCCGCTTATGTGAGGGCACACGGTCTGAGGCCGCCTCGACCAGGGTAAACAGCACCGCCGCGACTCTGTGCCATTACTAGTTCCTTGGCTTAAATAAACCCCGACTCTAGCAGTATCTGTGTTTACTCTTATTCAGCAAGAAGAAAAGTCTTTCCAAAGCAATGTTATTCCATCTCCTCTATCCCAGCTGGCAAGACAGAAAGCTCGGTGAGAGAAGGTTCCGTGTAGAAGGTTCCGTGCTTTGCAATCTTGCGGGAGGGGCAGCACGTGCTGGGGGGTGGGGTGCGGGTCGGAGGACAGGGTAACAGAGAGAGTACAGGTCTGTATTTTAATCCAAGGTCACCTCAGCCGAGAAGCCCTCCCTGATGGCTCTGCTCCCGACGGCACCCTCCATCCCCTTCCCTGGCATCTGTCACCACCTGACGTCATGTTATAGTTATCAGTTTGTCCACCTGTGTCCCCAACTCCTAGAACACTGCACAGTGCAGACGCGTGCTCACTGAGTGAGTGAGCTGTTACTTCCTCCTGGGTTAGGTTTCTGTAACATTCAAGTATAAGTATAAAACACATGCAGTCCAAACAAAAATAGTTCTGGTTTTGGCAACCTCTGTCCCCTGGAGTCTTTCTGTTATGCAAATGGCTGAGGGACCAGAGTCTGACGGGCCCTCGCCGCCTGGAGCCCAGCGTGTCAGCTCCAAGGACAGCGTGGCTCGCCACGGCCCATTCCCTGGGCGCAGCTCGAAGCACAGCTCCAGAGCTGGTTGTAGCGGCCAGGAACAGCAGCTCTTGTCCCCGGCACAGACCACGCAGCTCAGCGAGGCCACAGTGGCACCAGGCCGGCACTGTCTCCAGGGCGGAATCAGCAGAACGCCAGCCCTCGGCCGCTCTCAGTCTCGGCCTCCAGCTGTAACTCAGTAGGTCTCAGCCTGAGAAACTTCCCTCGGGCCATGGAGCATTTCTGCCTTGGCCCCCAAAACAACCAACGGTGTGACTTTCCACGCAGCTGCCCCTCCCCCCACCAGGCAGCAGCTGGGAAGGCTGTGGGGTCTCACGGGGATCTGGCGGCTCTGTGCCACCCCCCACCCTTTGCCCCCCAAATGCAGAGCATGCAGCCCCGCTCCTAGGATGAAAAATCACGACAACAGGTCCACATGGAAACCAGGCCTTCCCCTTCCCTTGCTTTTTGGACATTCTTAGGTTTCGGCCACAGGGTCAAGTGCAGAAAAGTGACTTCTGAGGAGGAAGCAAGATGCGTGCGGCCCTGCAGCACGGCCTCGGAGCCTTCCTCTCCTTCCCTGGGCACTGGCTCCCAGCTCCCCTCCTGGGAGAGGACTCCCCCCCCCCAGGAAGCAGCCCCCCAAGTTGCCACGGAGCCACAAGCTGGTCGCTGAGGACTCCGCGGGAGAAACAGGAGTCCCAGGCCCTCCTCTGGTCGCGCCAAACCGAGGCTTCAAAAGCACAGCCAGGCCAAAGCTGCCCTGTGCCCACGTCCAGCCCAGGGTCACCAATGAGCTCTCAATTCCTGCATCTCACCTCCTAGTCAGAATTCTGCCTGGATTTCTAACATGCATTCGTTCACAAATCTTCCTCCCCACCGGAGCAGAGGTGGTGATGGAGGACGGCCACAATTGCAGTTGCCCTGGTCAAAACTTTCATCAAAACCTTGGGAGATGGAACTTTCCACCTGAACATACTTCGACAGTAAGTTACGAACCACCACCGCCTCGAAAAGCCTAGGCACAGCCCTGGTTCCCCTCCTCCGCAGGACCTGCCCCGCCAGCAGAGGCCCCAGCAATCCGGCCACCTCTCTCCTCCCCATCGGCTCGCATCTGCTCTCACGGCCCCTTCTCACCCCAACCACACAGGCCGCCCTCCAGCCCCGGCTGCCACTCCCTCCCTGACAGCCGCTTGTGCCCCGCAGCCAGCGACACCTACTACTCAAGCCAGTCCCTCTGGCCACGTCATTCCCTGCTTCGTGAGCAAACCCTCGCTACTCACACGACCCCTGCCAGCCCTCAACCCTCCCAGGCGACTGGCCACGCCAGCCTCCCTTCTGTGCCGACGCCCCAGCCGGCCCTCCCTCGTCCCCCAGACAGGGCTTGCCGTCCTCCCGCCCCGGCTCCCGGCTGTCTCGCTTTCATCTCCTCAGAAGGACTTCCCTGCCCACCCTGTGCCCGCCCACCCTCTACCCCACAGCATCCAGTGCTGAAGGAGTGAAAAATACACCCACTTCCTGAGCAGCCCCTCAGCGTCCTACCCCTGAGCCCCACCTTAGTTACACGCAAGCCCACGGCCCTGGATCAGTCCCTGATGGTCGAGCTGCCCCCTGGTCACAGAGCTGCAGGTGCAGTGGACAGTGTCTGCCAGTGAAGATGTGTTGCCATTGCGATGTGGCGTCCTCACCGCCCCCGGTCAACCCTCTCCCCGTCCCTGAGTCACTATCCTCACTGTCACCAGTGATCCTGTCCCATCTCCCGCCCACTCGCGCCCAGCAGAGAATCTGTGGCCACCGTCCAGGGGCCAGTGGAGCCCGCCGGCCCCCCAGCCCTGGTCCGGGCAGAGCGCCTCCTGCTCAGGCTCAGTGCAGCCCCGCCTGCTCTTCTGGTTCCTTCCCGCCATCTGTACTGGTCCAAATCTCCCATCCGAGTCACTGCTCCATCTCCAGATTTCACTCGCAGGTACACTGAAAGCGCTCAGTATGTTAATGGATGAAGGTGAATCCATGAATCTACGAATGAATGGAGAGCCCGCCCCCACCCTGTGACACCTCTGTTCCCCCCCACCTCACCATCCTGGAACAGCATTCACTCTCCCGCCCATGCCAGGGTCTGCCCCCTGCCCCCGGAGATGACCCACCGACAGGCCTGCTCCGGGGGCCCAGCCCCGAGATCCCAGCCCGTAGGGTGTCTTGTTGTACCTCCTGCCGGCAGGCACGGGGATGTGAGTTGTGACCTGTCTGTGGTCCTCCTCCTGCCTGATTCTTCTCAGCCCCCAAGGCTGCCTCCTTCCCTGCCACCCACCTCTTCTCCTGAATCCACACCTTCCAAGCCTGAATCTTCCCCCGGAATCCAGGCTAGGAGCCCAGCTGCCGAGCTTCCTGTGGCCGGCGCAGGTTCCCCTCAGGAATGTACTGCGGGCTGAGGGTACCCCCAGCCCTCAGGGGCCATCCTCAGTCAAAATCACTCCACATCCAGGCAGGTGCCAGGTCCCCTCACCCGTCTGTACCCCAGCTCTGGATTCCCACCCCCATGGCCTCTGCCCTGGTCCTGTCTCACCTTGGCCTTCTGATGACCCAGACCGTCCGGGTCCAACCTGAGTTCTGCCACTTACCGGCCGCATGACCTCAGATAAGTGCCCTGGCTTCTCTGGGCCTCCGTCTCTCCACACGTGGACTGTGTATGTGACGTGCTGGCTTCCCAGCGCCATGGCCGCTGGCTCAGATGCTGTAGGCCTTGGCGCTGACTGCCTGCTGCTGGCTGGCTGCTTTGTTCCTCACTTTACTAGCACCTTCGCCCACCTGCTGGGGGGGTGCGGCTTTGCAGGCAAAGCTGGCTAGGTGCCCGCACATCCCTGTAAGCACCAGGCACGGCTGCAGAGTCAGTGACCTGGACAGCCTGCAAAGTTGAGAATATCCACGCTCTTTCCCCCCCACGAACAGATCCCCAGGCTAGACCCTCCCCAATCCATCCTCCACACAACTGACATAAAGATTTTCCTAAAAAGTGAATCTTTACTAGCCCCCAACGCCTTCCTGCTAAAGGACAAGCTCTGCAGCCTGCAGGGAAAGCCTCATCGCCTTGCGTTCGCTCCCCACGCACAGTATGTTGTCTGCGATCCCACGATCCGTGTGCTGAACCCCTGCCTGGGATGCCTTCTCCACCCGGCCACACGGAACCATCTAGAAGTCCCTGGCTGTCCCATGAGAGTCATGCTTCTGCTGTCCCTTCCCCCTCCTGCCCTGCGTCTATGGTCAAGTGCCCTTCCCCCACCAGGAAGCGTCCCTCCTGCGGGGCGGGGCTGACACTGGACCCAGAGGCACCCAGGCCGAATCCCAGAACCTGTGACTGTCTCCTTCTATGGCAACAGAGACTCTGCAGATGAGAGCAAGTCAAGGGCCTTGCGATGGGGAGATTATCCAGGTGGGGCCACAAACGCAATGTGTGCTCACGGAAGGGAGACAGAGGGAGACTCGATGACTAAGAAGAGGCCCACAGCCAAGAAACGCGGGGGACCCCCAGAAATTGGAAAGCGGAGAGGACGGATTGCCCCCTGGCACCTTCAGTGGGAGCGTGGCCTTGCCCACACCATGATTTCAGCCCAGTGAAATGACATTCAGATGGACTTCTGGCCTCCAGAACTACGAGGGCACATGTGTTCTTTTCAGCCAGCAAGTTTGTGGTGATCTGTCAGGGCAGCCCTAGAAACCAACGCACCCCCGATGTGCCTGCCGCGCCTCTGTGTGAGGCCTCTCTCTGGGCAGGGGCTCTGCCATCTGTCTGGCTGCGATCCGGTCCACAGCCTCCCCACTTGACTCTGAGTCCAGGAGCGAAGGGCCTCTGCTCAGTCAGGTTGGCTCCCAAGACCTAAGGACACCTGGGGTTCGATCACCTTTTTTAAATAAACAATCATTCAACCGCTCTCAGTGACAGGAGAACTCAGGCTGCCTTCCAGAAAATCCCTTTAGCTTCACCACTGGATCAAAGCCCAACCTTGGTCTCCATCCCTCCTTTACGATCCCAAGGAATTACTTTTATTTTGTAGAAAAGAAAGTTTACAATCACACGCGTTTTCACGCCATGCCACGGTCTGCTGGTTTATCACCTAAAACTGATGGTGAGCTGCCTGTAGTGTCTTGTTGCTGGAGGTCTGGTGCCAAGCAAGAGCTTGCATTTTCATTAAAAAACCAAACCAAACCAAACCAAACCAC